ATTCCATTAGCGTCATTCTACTGAACTCACGCTTTATACTTGATGATTTAAAACATAAAATGATGTTTAATAATCTATTAATTTAGAAAATATCTTTATTATTGTAGGAGCTGAGGAGAAGTGCGCGACTCAAATGGAAATGACTTGTGACCCATGGCCGGCACAAGCCGTGCCTCTACGTTCGCCAGAGAAGTCATTAAATCGTCTTTAATATTACACCTTTTGATAGGTATGAAGATTTCGGTCTCACATGATTGTCATTTGATTCTTTAATTAAAATGTAGGAAAGATATTTTTTATAAGTTCCTCACATCTCGGGGAATGATTTGAGCTGAAACTTAATTATGTACACATGCTAGTTTTCAACGATCCTCTAATTAGCGAGGCTTATGAGAAAACAGACCCAATGAATTAAATAATTTGTTACACAGTTAATCAGGCGCGCAGTTAAAATTATAGTGTACAACGCAGCTTATAATTACAAAGAATACATATGCAAGCGAGAATGGCTTATAATCTACTTATATGTCTTAGGTTGTTTATTATACATATGTATGGAGATTATAGTAATTCACTATCTGTCTTAATTAAAAATTATAAGCATTATTTTCATTTTAAAGGTTGTAGAAATTGAATCCGGAGGAAACCTTATGTCTGCCGTTAAGGATCTAGACTTTTTACCTGGCTTTGCACTGGAAGGCTTTCCAAACCGTGACAGTATAGTATATAGAGACCTATATGGACTACATAACGCTAATACAGTTTTGCGGGGCACATTAAGGTTCAAAGGTTTTTGTAAGACCATACAGGCTTTACAACGTGTTGGGCTAACGAACCCTCATCCGCATCCGAGCTTACATCCAAATGGGCCAGATATCACGTGGGTATGTATGTACGTTTTAAATATTCATTAAATATGATCTAAAATTGCTTCTTTTCTGTTTTAGAGAGCATTAATTTGCAATTTAGTTAATTTGACAAATGACATGTTTTACGAAAATTTGAAAAGAAAACTAGCCGAAATGCTAAATTCAGAAGACGATGTGCAGTCAATCGAGGATTTAGGACTTCTTCAAGAAGATTTGGTGTTGAAATTAAATACTCCTATTGATACTCTGACGCATTACTTATCGAAGAAACTATGTTTTGATCAAAATGAACGAGATCTTGTAATTCTAAGACACGAAGTTGGAATATTATGGCCTGACAACAGAAGGGAAGAGAGAGGGATTAATCTAGTGTTGTATGGAGATAAGCGCTATTCTGCTATGGCACGGACTGTTGGATATCCGACAGCCATCACAGTTAAAATGATTCTCGATGGTACAGTTCTTCTTTAAAGTTAACATTAATTAATATTACACTAATTTTGTTCTTTAAATAGGTGAAATACAAAAACGTGGTGTGATTCTCCCATTTACTCCAGATATTTATCGGCCCATACTAAACCGATTAAAAGCTGAAGGAATAGAATTTTTTGAAACATCGAAATGGATAACATGATGGCTAGTATAGCTTTTAATATAAATAATGTTAAGTATAATATATATAAGGT